CCCAGACTAGAGACAGTGGCTTGATCATAGCTCACTGCAGCCTCAAACTCTTGAGCTTATGTGATCCTCCCACCTCAGCCTCCCACCTCCACCTCAGCAGCTAGGATTATGGGCATGCACCATTGCAACTGTCTGATTTTTTACTTTGTAGAGATGTCTCCCTATGTTGCTCAGGCTGCTCTAGAACTTTTGGCCTCAAGTGATTCTCCTGCCTTGGTCTTTCAAAGTGCTAGAAAATTACAGGCATCAGCCATGTTGCCCAGACCTCAATTTTTCTTTAGCCCCCACACATGAGAATATGCAGTATTTATCTTTCTGTGTCTGCACTTAACATAACATCCTCCAGACTGATCCACATGGCCACGGATAACAAGATTTCATTCCTTTATATGGTGAATAGTATTATTCCATTGTGTATGTGTACTACAATATTTTGTTCATTAATTTGTTGATGGATATGTAGGTTGATTCCATACATTAGCTGTTGTGAATAGTGCTACAATAAACATACGAGTACAAATACTGTTTTGACCTATTATTTTCTTTTCTGTTGCCTGAATACCCAGTAGTGGGGTGGCTGGATCCCTCGGCGGTCCCATTATTAGTTTTTTGAGAAAACCTCATGTTGTTTTCTATAGTGGCTGCACTAATTTACCTTCCTACCAACAGCATATATAAAGGAGTTTGGTGTTCTCTGACTGCTGGGATTACATGCGAGCCACCGTGCCCAGCCAGAAAAATATTTACCCCAAAAACAAATTAAGCAAAGATTATAAAAGTTTTCAGAGTAACATAGTTCCCGAAACAATCACGATCATGCAGTCTGAGCCAAGTTGACATCCCATCCAGGCCCCTTCCTGGTGGTGGAATCTACCCAGCACAGACAGAGGTGCAAGTCACACTGGGAGGCATTCGGAGGAGGAGGGGCTCCCTGGGGTCGTGCAGGTCTCAGAGAGGCTCTCCAGGCCCTGGAAGGTGACCTTGGGCCCCTGAGCTCCCCACAGTCAGGTCTACTCAGATGCCAAGGCACAGGAGCTGTGGGCTGCTCTGCTGAGGGGTTATCTGTCCATGCAGGTCTCAGAGAGCTCCTCGGGCCCTGGAAGGTGACCTTGGGCCCCTGAGCTCCCCACAGTCAGGTCTACTCAGATGCCAAGACACTGAGGCCTGTGGGCTGCTCTCTGCTGAGGGGTTATCTGTCCACAGAGAGTGTCTGTAAGTGTCATGGAGGAAGAACTGAACCTGGGCGCTCACACAGGCACCTTCAGGGGGCTGGTTCCCTGGAGAGTAAAACAGACACAGAGAAACGGGGGGATTTTGAGGATTCCAGGATCAACAGGCAGAGCCCTGGGCCCTAAGGGGAGCAGGAGGTCTCATGACACAGGGTGGGGGTGGTGACCCTGCCTTGCCACCCAGATCCTCTGTGCCATCCAGACAGAAGAGCTGCACATTGAACATGCACAGCTGCCTGGAGCACGTCATTGGTATTGCCTAGTAAGACCTGGTCTTTCTAACATCCCCACCAGACCTGTCTTTGTATTGTAATTTTTAAAATTACGCTTTGGTAAGACAAATTTCTCACTTTAGTATATTCTATAATAATAGGGTTACAGAAGACATACATTTGAAAGAGTGAAAAACAGTGTATAGATACACACAAACAGACGTTTATATGTGTGCCTGATTTCAAGATTGGAAAATAGATTTAAAAAACAGAGGCTCCCTGAATCATGCCCTCAACCCTTCCCAAGTGAGCATGGCCCTGAAATGTCTTCAGGGGGTTGTTTTGTTGGCATTTGGCACAGATACAGAACCACTGACGCCCAAGCCAGTGCTCTCTACATACAGAAGCCTCCAACCTCATCTTGAAAAATGGGGCCATGAGGTCACTCCAGTGACCCCCACAGAGGCCGAAGGACCCCTAGGACTGGGCACATTTCAGTGCTTCTTGGATCCTGCCATGTCCCCTGCTTGATGCCAGGACCTACTGAGTGCCCGCTGGCCTCAATACTGGGCAATACTGGGCCGTGTGGGCTGCGTGCTCGTGTGACAAGGAGCCTGGGGATGCTCCATCCTTCTCACCTTCTCACACCTTTCCCAGGAGGCCTGAACTGGGGGCGATTCATGGTCAACCCTAGAGTCTCCTCAGGATGAACTAGTGATACTCCCTGTTGGCCTCAAGAGGCTGGGGGGACAGAGCTGGGTCCCCCCAAATGAGATGCTGGTGAGCTGACGTGTCACTGCAGCAAATAACACAGTGCACAGCCCCTGGTATCCTGCACACGGTGGCCCGACCAGCACCCCAGTGTCTCCCTCACTAAGCAGCCTGTGGCAGGCTCAGCCCAGCTGGCTCAGGGGCTGCTCTGGGTGTGTTTCCTGGAGGATGTTCTCGGGGCATCTCTTCACTTACCTTCAGGGGTCTCTAAAATATATTAAAAATGTCCCAGCGGTTCAGGACATTCCGCCAGGTATTCTTCCTGGGCTTCTTGGTTTTCTTCCCGGTTTTCCTGATGGGACAACAAGAAAGTGAGCGTAGCCATAAAGAACACGGGCACGTGTCTGCTTCCCTCATCATTCTGCCCGCCGCACACTCACTCTTCCTCTTCCACTTTTGTCTTTTCTGTTGCTGCTTCTGCAGATGCAGAGGAGGAACATGCTGACACCTGTGAGAAGGAGAACAGTTGTGTATGTCCAGAGACGCCAGTGCAGGAAAAGTCCTACCTGGGCAGGGAGTGCCCAGAGCAGACCCAGATGTCACTGGGAGTCCCTCCAGCATGGTGGGGTCCAGCTCATCTGACCCCAGCCCAGCCCCTCCCTGGACCCTGAAGGGTTGTTCAGCAAGATTCAAAGCTGCAGCCTGGGGGCCAGTAAACAGGGCAATGCCAAGGCAGCGGGCAGGAGGGCTGGGGAGGGGTTTTATCGACACTGAAGACCCGAGGACCTCAACTGTGGGATAAGACCAGGTCCTTCAGAACAATCACAAGAGAGGAAAGAGGAAAAGGACCAGAGCTAAGAAAGGAGCTCAGGAGTCAGAAAGAGGATAAAAGAGAGAGAGCATATAAGAGGAGATCAATTACCTGCTGGTGGCCTGTAATGGTGGAGTCTTCCAGTTCTGGGAAGCAAGCATCAGAGTGTCCAGAGGAGAAGCGGTGATGGGGGCGGCCATAAGAAGGAAAAGGGAGAGTTATTGTCGAGAGAACCCCTCAGACTCCGCTGTCCCAGGGCTGTGGAGCCAACCCCAGAGCCTCTGATGTGCCCATTTCTGGAG